CTTTCTTTGATTTATTTGTCTGTTGCAGCTGAGAGAGAACCTAGCACGTTCCAGTGATAAACTAAAGGAAGAGAGGTTGAAAAGAAGTTTACTAAGAGATAGTAGACCCCTTAGATCTAGCGATCTGGACGAAGACATTCCTAGTAGACGATATAGGCCTACATCCCCATTAAGGGATTATGGGGTGAGTTAGCAATCAGTAATTTTATTACTAATGGCACTTTATAGTAAATGTGAGCTTAAATGGCATGAACTGCACATTTGATACATGACTACTTTTAATTGGTTTCTTGACAGGAGAGTGGAGAATATTCTCGGAGAAGACGAAGAAGAAAAGCATCAGTGAGATTTGAAGGTGAACCAGAAGAACAGGTATCTATGTATGCTGCTGTAATTGGCAGTTTTCTCATATATTTTATCAAACATTCTTTTGTATATCTTTATTTTTTTTAACTTGACTAGATTAAGACTAGTTGAATTGATCTCAAAAACAAAATGTTCCGCCCGAAGAGACTGGCTTGTTTCTCTACTAGTATTTAGAGCATAAAACATGGAGTCATTGCGGTGAAAAAAAAAACAAACACTTAAAATCAAGAAAAATATTTTATTTCTATATACATTATAAACTTACCGGTATATTTGCAACATGGATTTTGTCTTGTAATTAATAATATTAATTCATTCCTAGGACAGGACATTCTACAATTTTACCATATGTCTATGAATGTGAAAAAAACAATTTAATTATAACAATTATAACATTTTTCTTATAAAAATAATGCTGCCTAATCAATTCATACAGTCATCATTAAAAATTGTCATCAAATTTGGCAACACAGGGCCTAATTTGGTAGGTTTGGCAACAGCCAAGAACAACTTTTTCCCTGAAGGAGTTCTTACCAACTTTTCATGGTAATTAATAACTTCATCTATCTGTGGAATTACTCAGAACAGCAATTCTCTGCATTCAGACATAATTTGTAAAATATCCATTTGATGACGTACTTGCGTGACAGTCACTGAATTCTAAACTATAAATATTTCGTTTGAGTTTTTCTATTGCTAATTTTTTTTTTTAGATTTATAGAATTTCGCCTGACACATTAAAAACACAGATTTGGGCTCAATTTTTTTTTATTTCTTCGTCCTATGCCAAGTGTGTTCTTCATAGTGTGTTCTTGTCACAGTGTATGCCTCATAGTATAACCTGTACACTGAACCAGCCTACAGATAATGGATACTAAGTTTTAAACTGATTATATTCAATATTTTTGCTCACATGTGACATTTTGAAAGAAATATATTTGGAAGTGGAAGTTAGTAATTTACATCAATTTGGTTGTTATTTATTAACTTATATTCAAAGTTTCATTTCAATTAGACATTCTTCTAACAATGGCGTCACCTTTTGACATTCAACGATGTAAGCTGATACTGTCGCATGCACCTGATTACTAACTGTTTACATTGATTTGTTAATTAACTTGTATATAGCCTCTAGTCACCTTCCGGTCTATTATTAAACAGGCACTGGAAATTTGAAGTCTTGTGCAAAAAAGTAATACCAGTGTCTTATGCAATTTTTCTGCTTGCAATGCAAGTTACTTTACAAGTTCTGCATGGACATTTCCATAAGTACAAAATGCTTGTTTTTGTAGCTCCACGATATTCACCAAAGCGTGCGTGATATTAGCAGTGATCAGGTTCGATTAGCCGAAGATCTTGAGAGGGAGGTAGAAAGGCGGACAAATTTGGATTACGAGCACAGGCGTGCAATATCCCAGTTATCAGACAGTATGAGACAAGTCGGTAGTAGAGCTGCTGATGAATCGGTAAGTGGCACATACGATTGTTATATTTATATTGACTAAATATAAAATAAATGAAAGCTGTATTAGTTAGCTAACTATCTATCTGTCTGTCTGTCTGTAGTAGTTATCTACAAGCACTATGACTGCATGTGTCACACATTTACTGTCCTTGTAGGTTTCTAATAGAGTTGAGAGAAGACTGAAAGAGATAGAAGATGAGATTCGATTACAGAGAACATTAAAACAACCACCAATGGACTCAATTGGTATGGTACCAGCTGATCTCCGACAGGTACGAATCAATGCCATGGAAGAAAATAATTTTATAAAAATATTTTGTCATCATATCAATTGTACGTCAGTGCTACCAACATGTTGTAAATTATGCTGATGATGCCCATGCCTGGGCAAATGCCCACCCCCCACTTTTGACACGCTCAGGGGGTCTTTTTCTACACACACACACACAAAACTATTTTCTATTCGTTGACTGTGTTTGTATTAACAGTTGAAGTCTGTCGTGATACTTATAACAATTGTTAATTGCGTAAAACAAGGAGTGAACGCAAAATAGCTGTGACAGCTTTCTGCCTTCAGGGCAGCGCGTTCACCGCTGATTTTTTTCAGAATCATAACAGTCAGCAAGTCTATAAAAATATATATTGAAGCAGAAACAATAGTTCTCTTTTATGAAATATGCCGTGGTTTGGTTTGTGCATCCTTAGAAACGATTCAAGCAAATCGTATAAGGAGAGCCGCTAAGCAAGTGTCGCACTCGTTCGGCTTTAGCGTCGTCGACAATGAAACCAATGTTGCAATATTGTAGCAACCCTTACCTAGGACAGTGGTTGAATCACGTTATTTTGGCTTTATAAAATATTTTGTAGCAGCTTGCGAATCCATAACTGGGGTCAGCAAGTTTGCAATTTTACGCCGAAGAATGCCAACTTTTTTACCATCTTTCATCACCGCTATTGCATTTCTGTCATGAAAACTATTCTTCTGACGTTGGATAAAAAAAAATTCCTATTTCAAGTCCACCGCGATATCCATATAGTGAGACATTCCAACCGCCGGAACTTGCTGATTGATAACTTTCACCGTGATTGATAAGCGTCGAGTCTGATAAAAAAGCAGTATCACGATTTGACCTTTATGATGAAATACTAGTAGTGATGTCATTCTTAGCCAATCAGTAAAGCAGATGCATAAAGGTCAAAGATGATTGCTAGACTGTAAACAAAAGCATCGTGTGCCATCGCAGCAGAGCGACCCCATTTTTCTTGTCTCTTTAAAGATCTGAGAAGTTTTTTCAAACAGCTATGAATTTTTATAATTTTTACTGTGTAAATTTGTAAATTATTATTGATCTTGTATGACGGTTGATTCGTAATTTGTCGAGACCGGAAATCATTTTACGCAGTTTAACCCCTGACATTTTAATTCATTTTGAGTTCATGCGTATTTGGCGGCGAAAAAATCCTATTTCAAATGATTCCTCACTGTCGATTTTTATTATTTCTGGTTTATTTGTTACATTATAAGCAATACATTATTTTAGTTTTACTTCTAGTGTTGCATATTGTTCATTGATTCCCGTTGCATGTTTTCATTTGCCGTTCTATTCCCTGCCGCAGTTCGATCTGCATGTTGTCAATTTTCGTGAATTTATATACTCGGATAAATACGGTACATGAGTTTATGTTTTTCATCTGACCATATTAAATATATCTTTTGACAGGCTATGCGTTCACAGTCCATAGAAGAAGACAGACAATTGAGAGAGAGAATGATTAAATCTGAAATTGAAAAGCAGCATTTACTTTCTGATTATGAAACTACTAAAAGAAAACTTGACCAGTCTGAAGGCAGCAGGAATGCCCTCAAGCAAAAGGTATGCTTTAATTTGGTTATTCACGGTTCAAGAAAATTTATTTAATATCAAGCTTTACTACTTGATGGTGAGAAAGACAATACTTGAAGACTGGAACTTTCATTCCAAACTTTGTTTTCTCCAAGCTAGTCACTCAATCGGATTACCTTACCAATTAAAAGAATAGTAAAATTTACAATACATATTGCTATCACTTGATAGATATTGTGATGATAGCGCACAAACCAATTGCAACCGTCAATTGGCATTTGATATTATAATACCGGTAAGTCAAACTAGAAACCTATTCAGAACTCCAGGAAGTATGAAAAGTATCACCCATTGCTGCCATATTGAAAACACTCTAAGGTTAAGTGTTAATCATTTCATAGCAGGTTGCCATTTGAATAGAGAGAGATTCTAATTAAGTACTCTGTCCATGAAAGCAACACCATGGAAGCAAGAAATCAAATGTAGAATTGTTTGCGACAGCAAATGCAGTGAAGTTTATTGTGTATTTCTTATTTTAGATTGAAGAATTAGAAGACCAACTGTCAAGGTCAGGTCACGACCGATCTGAGTTAAAAGATAAATTGTCTGAATATGCCAGTGTATTGGAAGAGGAAGGCTTGCCATTTAGTAGGCAAGCAAGAAGAGAACGCAAGTTTCATGGTCAGTAGTCAGATTTTTGTTTTCTGCACTTGGTATTTAAAACAATTTATAGTTCATGTTGTGAAATTTTATATTGTCAATATATTCTGTCTTGAAAATTAAACTCTCCATATATTACATTTCTGACTTTTGAAGTTCAATGACATAATGCTTTGTTCACAATTTACAACTAGTGAATATTCAAGTAAAAGAAATCCTTTTCAACTAAACGCAGAATGCATTTCTCCATATAACAGTATTGTAGAATCTAGTGTTTTTATTTCTACATATGTTTTTATTAATACATTACTTTGGGACAGTCAGTAAGATTGTAACGTCTGGCTAACAGCATCTAATGTAGAAACATTTTTGGATTGACGCCATTGTTAATACCCATTCAAATGTAGTCCAAAAACAGCTCCCTATTGATTGACCTCTGTGTGTCCATGATACATATTGGAAGATATTGATGTTCTTTTGGCTTCATGATCTGAATCAAGATGGCTGAATGACAGCCATTTTATGCTCAATCAAAATTCATCAAAATCAATCATTTCTGCCATTCAGGAACAAGAGCTTTGTTGTGTATGGATGGATTTTGTTGTTTTTCGGATTGAATTCAAAATGTCCAACTGATGGACATTTTGTATTCATGATGAATGCTGTTTTGTTTCATAGCCATATCACTGACATGCCTTGACATTTGTTTCAAGTTCTGAATTAAAATTTCATTTCAATTTTGTTTACTATTAAAAGTCAGGGACTAATAATTGCAGCTTATGTGTTTTCACTACCAAATTAAAAAAAAAAAATTATGCCTATCTATAACTGTTTTAGATACTTCTGTTCATGTATTGTTGCACACATTTAAACTTGTTTTGTTTGAAATTCTGTGATTAGTGCGTGTGTCCTCTTTTACCACAATGACAACATTTCCCATTATTTGTGTTAACAGATGAAAGACAAAAACAAGAAGAACAAAAACAACAGTTGGAAAGGGAGATACATAATTTGAAATCTCAGTTGACAAAATCCAGTGGAATCAGAGAACTAGAAGAAGTTAAACAAGACTTTGTGAAAAGTGAAAGACAGCGAGCACAATTATCTGACCATATGGAGGTGAGTGAAAGATATCTTGATAAAAACAAAAGAATTTAATCTGTTAGATGGTTGATGGCAGTCTCTATAACTTAGATGGTTTGATATCATACTGGTGGTTGTATTGTGGTCAGTGTGTGTGTCAGTTCAAAAGACTGCTAACAACCTACTTTTCTGTTTTCATTCTAAAAATGAATGAAAAAAATTACAGTAGTATCTCTATGTTAATATGAGGAATTACAATAAAGCACATGAGGAATCTAGGGGGGTAGAGTCAGGGTAGAGACACTTGAGGAATTTTTGGTAGAGTCACATGAGGTATTTAGGTTAGATTTAGGATAGAGTCACAGGAATTTAGGTTAGATTTAGGAAAGAGTTACACAGGAATTTAGGTTAGATTAAGTGTGGATTCACATAAATTTAGGTTAGATTTAGGTAGGGTAGAGTCACATGAAATTTAGGTTAGATTTAGGGTAGATTCACAGGAATTAAGGTTAGATTTAGGGTAGAGTCACAGAAATTAAGGTTAGATTTAGGATAGAGTCACATAAGGAATTTAGGGTAGAGTTATAGGAATTTTGGTTAGAATTAGGATAGAGTCACGTAAGGAATTTAGGGCAGAGTCACAGGAATTTAGGGTAGAGTCACATAAGGAATTTAGGGTAGAGTTACAGGAATTTCGGGTAGAATTAGGATCACATAAGGAATTTAGGGTAGGGTAATGTTTGTGTAGTGTCACATAAGGAATCTGAGTGAATTGTGATTTAAACTGTAAATATGTATTTAAGGAGTAACAGCTACAACATTACCAATCAAAATGTTCATCACTGTAGGGTCAAAGGTTTGTTGAAGTATGTTAATCTGCTAACAAGTAAAAAAAAATGATTATCCTCAAAGAGGTTAATAAGTTAAAATAATTTTATTGTATAGTGTTACTGGGTATATGTACATTACTGCTACTGTCAATATTTATTTTAGGCATTAAATCAAGAACTAACATCTAAAGAGAAATATCAAGCCAAACTCATCAATCAATTGAAGGATGTAACTGACAAATACAATGACACTGACCAACAAAAACAGTTAGCAATGTCACAGTTAGAGGAGACTCAGAAAAGGTTACGAGAGACCAATCGGGAAGCTGATTTACTCGCAGATAAACTGAGAGATACACAGAGATTTCTGGAAGATGCTGAGAGAAAAAAAGATGAAATGAAAGTCAAGGCTCAGGAAACTGTCAGACAGTAAGTCACCATTGTTCCTGAATTCTTGTATCAATTTAGACTTCATATTAAAGTTTGAAAAAAACAATTTGTGTAAAGATTTATTATATACTGTAAAACCATTTATTCATCACTATCATTTTATTTCACTATTTTAATGCTTTTAGCATATCACTGTGTTTTAATTTCACGAATTAAAAATGAGTTTTATTGTTATTTTACATATTCACGTAGATTTAATTTAGCAGATTTTACGATCATAGCAAAAGTAAAACCCAGTGAATAATTAATGCATTTACAGTACTGCCTTGCAATCAAATTTACACAGTGTATAGAGAAAAAAAAGAAAAAGCTCATTTATCTCTATTGCAAGTTTAACAAATGTCATTGCTCTTATTAGGTGGAAACAAAGATGCAAAAAGCTAGAAAAAGAAGTAGACAGGCATAAACACAGCTCTCAACAGTTGATGAGTAGGAATGAACAGCTTGCCAGAGAAAACGAAACTGGCAAAACACACTCCTTTACCAACATACACAGATTAGAAAGTCTTCAGAGAGAATTAAATGAAGCACTGGTAAGCTTTGATGGATTAGTGGTATTAAGTATTGCTATGATTAACCTTACAGTGATAATCAAAGACCATTATCCACCTTAGTAATTGTCTTTTTAATGCCTAAGCATATTAAGGCTTAATCCCCCCATGACTGTGATTACTTTACTGCATAGCTAGTTTTCATTTGTCAATATTATGGGCATATGTATAATGCTATATTCTATCAATTGAACTATACTGTTGTGTTATTTTTTTATTTAATATCTTGTAGTCAGTTTTACCAGCACATTAGACGTTGTAATGATATAACATTACATTTATTTAGGCAATCAGAGCCCAACAAGATGAGCAGTTAAGAATAAAAGATATTGAATTAAATGAAACGAAGTCTTTTAAAATGGATCTTGACAAAGAACTCAGGGATACCCGTGCTTTCATGGACAAGGTACGTATACTACCATACTGGACCACTTAAACACCCAGTGTCCTCAACTCAGAAAATCATGATTTTTTAGGCGTGAGCGCTTACCCAAGCACCCACTTTAAAAAAGAGTGCAAATGACAATTTTACTTCACCATGTGACAGATTGAGGGGGATATTACGTCTTTGAGGGAAAATAAAATTACGAAATTAGTTGACTTTTACAATGAAGAAACAGAAATGGTCACAAAAAATGTGCACATTTTATTACAATATTAATTAATTACCACCCAAATTTACAAGATTTAAAATATTAGAGTCTGTTGGAACACAGTCAAAGTCAAAATCTTCATCATTATCTCTACTGACAAATGTGTTGGATCGTACGCAAACTCTTGATGAAAAGCATTGTTGTATTCTTCCATGATTTGACCTGCAGCAGCGTACTTTGACCTAATGGGTCAAGTCTGTTATTAACCAATCAGAATGCTGTGTTGTACCAACACAATTCTTTTGGAATTCTCAAAGACTTTCTTGTAACGGAATGCGGAAGTGAATTATAAGTACGATCTGTTGGAATTGATTTCGGCGAATAAACTGCATGGTTTTTTCAAAAACTAGTAACTAGCAATTTTTGATAGGTAAACTGAATATGGCATGAAGTTTTTACTGCATATCACTTTGTTAACACGTCATTGTCGAAGCGTAGTTTATGCACAGTTACCACGGTTATGCAAAAGTGGGGGATGGGTGCTTGATGGGTATGGGCACTAACACTGTCCAGTATGGTATGTCATGTCATCTTAGTCCAAGACCCAAATTTGTTTTTGTTGTGATGTTTTTATGTTGCGTTTACCTCCATGTTTATTATTTGTCTTCCCTCGTAGTTGGATAATGAATTACAGACTCAGATAGCGAGACAAGCTGCGCTGAAAGAAGAGAAAATGCGAGTGGAGGAAGAATTGATAACTGTCAAAAGTTCTTTCCAACAAGCTCAAGATCAACTACAAAATCACCGGGTAAGTATGATGTGCAAATGATTGCTGTGTAAGGTTGTACGTTGTATTTATGTATGAATGTGTAGTGTGTTTATTTAGAATCACATGTACATGTGAGTTTGGTGTACTTAAATCCCATCTGAAAATACTCCTGATAGAGCAAATAAGATACAGTGGGTTAAGAGTTTTACTGGCCTCTACTGTTTGAAAACACAATATACTTTCATGGTGTGTTAAAGTAGAAAACCTACTCGTAAATTTAGAGAAAGTTGTTTATACATCTCATGACAATGTTCATTGGTTTGTTGTGTACAATAAGTATGTTAACATTCAGCCCACAATGTGTTAACATTCAGCCCACAACGTGTTAACATTCAGCCCACAATGTGTTAACATTCAGCCCACAATGTGTTAACATTCAGCCCACAACGTGTTAACATTCAGCCCACAATGTGTTAACATTCAGCCAGCGATTGTTAACATGCAGTTTGCAATGTGATAACATTCAGCCCGCAATGTATTAACATTCAGCCCGCAATGTATTAACATTCAGCCCGCAATGTGTTAACATTCAGCCCGCAATGTGTTAACATTCAGCCCGCAATGTGTTAACATTCAGCCCGCAATGTGTTAACATTCAGCCCGCAATGTATTAACATTCAGCCCGCAACGTGTTAACATTCAGCCCGCAACGTGTTAACATTCAGCCCGCAACGTGTTAACATTCAGCCTACAACGTGTTAACATTCAGCCAGCGATTGTTAACATGCAGTTTGCAATGTGA